ATAAAAAAAAAGAAAGATAGATAGATTGAGATAGGTTGAGAGAGAAAGAGAGAGAGAGAGAGAGGGAAAATCTGCAGAAATAATTTTTTCATTATATATATATATTACGGTTTGAAAATAATAATAATAATAATAATAATAATGAAAACGTACCCCATAAAAAAAATATAAATGAAAAAAATTCACTTCACTAATGAGCACAACCATTGCATCATCATTATTATTATAAAATTATTAAAAATAATTATTTTTTTTTACAAATTTATATTATGTAATTTTTTTTTTTTTTTTCTAAAATACTTTTTCCATGGGAAAAAAAAAAATAAAAGAAAATTTTCCTTTTTTTTTTTTTTTTTTTTTTTTGTTATATTTAAGCATGCGCGATTAATTTCGCGATCGGTACACTCCACCTTTTTCGGGGGCTTCTCCAGTATATTGAAAAAAAAGGTTTGAAAAAAAAAATAATAATAATAATTATTATTATTTTTGTAACATGTACATGTAAATGAGCGACATTTTGTCAAAATTTTTTTTCCCATTTTTCCTTTTTTTTGGGGGGAAATTTACACGCATATAAATAATAATAATAATATTTTGATAATTTAATTTTTTTTTTGTTCCCACTTTGTTTCTTTGTTTAAAATGTAATAATTAAATTCTTATTAATAATTTTCGGTAAAAAAAAATTCAATTAATAATTTTCGGTAAAAAAAAATTCAATTAATAATTTTAATAAATTAATCAAATTTAAAAATAATAATAATAATAATAATAATTAAATTATTCGAATGATGGGAAAATATTTGAATTTTTTTTAAATTTTAAAATTTTTAATTTAATTTCCTTTTTTTTTCCCCCCTGCATTACAACTTTAATAAAATAAAAAATAAAAATTTATAAAATAATTTGAATTTGACAAATAATAATAATAATAATAATAATAAAAAGGAATAAAAATTAAAATTTAATTATAAATTATTTTTATAAGAAAGAAGAAAAAACCACATGAAACAAATTTTATTTTATAAATAAATAAAAAATAATATTTTTAATTGTTTTTTTTTTTTTTAACAACATCAATTTTTTTTTTTATCCTTTGTATTATCATTATCATTATCGATTAGGTTTAAATCTTTATCACTCATGTATTGTCCTTTTAAATATTTTGGAAACCAAAAACAAGCTTGTATTAATTTAAGTAAAATCCAAACACAAAATGCTAATGTTAAATACATAATTCCGGTTATTAATATTTTTAATACATTTATTTCTATTTGTTGATTTTTCATCTTTTCCTGCTTTTCTTACTGCAACGATAAACTTTAATTTTTTTTTTTGTTAACTAAAATAAATAAAATAAAATAAATAAATAAAATAACTTACCATTCAATCAATCCAACATTTTTATTTAATCAAATATTTATTTCACTGTAAAAAAAAAAAAAAAAAAATTAATAAATTTATTTTATTCCAAACGTTTTAAAAAAAAATAAAAAATAAAATTTTATCATTAAAGTTCTTTTTTAAAAACTAAAATGTGTGTAAATCATGTTGTTGTTGTTGCTGTTGTCAAAAAACAAACCAAATAAATAAAAATCAATTATTTTTCATTTTCCAAAACGTCAATAATACACAAATGAATAATTTATCTTCATTTATCAATCATATATTTCAATTTGTTTTTTTTTTTTTTTTTTTTTACTAAAAAATATTTTATTGTTTTTAATAAATAAATAAACTTAATTTAATAAATTTAATAATTATTATTATTACAAATTACCAATACTTTTTAATTAAAAAAAAACATCAATTATTTTACAAAATAGTTATGATTATATAAAAAAAAAAAATAATAATATAAATTTTTTAATAATTATTTTTATGTAACCGCAGATTATTTAATAAATAAATAAATAAATAAATTAACATTAAATAAAATGTTTAAAAATAAATAATTACATGTATATAAATACTTTAATTATTATTATTATTATTATAAATATGACTCGGGAATAATATATGCTATAAAAATAAATAAAAACTTTGGTCAAAAATTTATTATTTTTTTTTTTCATACTGAGACTTGGTAAATTATGCATAAATAATTTTATTTTAAATAATTTACAAATAATAATAATAATAATTTGTATTAAAAAAAAATTTCGAAATGTTTATTTAAAAAAAAAAAAAAGGAGTAGTGTGATCATATTGAAAAATTTTTTTTTGGAAGTATTATTTTAAAATATTTATAATTATCGGTAAAATTTTATTAATTTTAATTAAAAAAGCGAATATATATATAAATAGAACTTTTTAAAAAATTAATTTTTAAAAATTTAAAAAAAAATAATGTCCCAAAATTTTAAATTTGATTACAATAATTTATTATTATTATTTATTTTATTTTTTTGTAATATTATTAATTTATTTATTAGCTTTTTTTAATTTAATAATTATTTTGGCACAAAGTGATCAATTATTATTGGACAAAATTTTTCATTATAATTTACAAAACAAAAATTATAACCCGATGATTTGTAAAAGAAAAATTTTTATTTTTTTTTTAATGTTAAAAAATTATGAGAAACTATTTAAACATTCCTTGACGTGAGTCCATGTTTGTAAACCTTGTTTAGATAATTTAATTTGAATTCCTACGTAATTACCTAAAGTTTCTTTAACGTCTAACGTTTTTTGTTTATCGAATCGTTCGTAGTCTAATAATGCTTCCTTCGTAAAATCACTAAAAACAAAACATTAGTTATTAAATTTAAAATTTGTTTTATACATATTTATTTTCGTATAACAATTAAAACAATTACTTAAGTTCATCTACAATGGCTTTCATATTAATTTTTCCTTCTTGTATGCGTTGTTCTACGGCATTGACTCGTAGTTCTTTTGTTTCTAATCTGTCGGTCGTACCGAAAATACGAGACATAAAACTAACTTTTCCTGTAAATAATAAATTATTTGTTAAAATTTGTTTTTGTAATTTTTCAATTCTTGGTTGTAAATTAATAAAAAAAAAAAAAAAAAAAAAAAAAAAATGGCACCCTTTTGAACTTGCTCCATTTGATTTACTCTATCATCTATATAATCCTGAGCTCTTTGTAATTGCAACTGAAGCATGTCTCTTCTTTTACAAACTGCTTGAACAGATGCACCAAAAAATAAATATTGCTTCAATTGATCTGCTATGACTTCTTCTTCCTCCGAAGCTAAATCTATGCTAGCTGCAAACGAGTCTAAGAAATGTCCTGCTTTTTGTAATCCTGCAAGAAAAATATATAAATTAATTTTTAGTTTAAAGCAAAATTTGTAAATAGGCTCACAATTTAAAAATTAAGTTTAATTATTCATTTTACATTTTAAATATAATACTTTTAAATAAATCGATAAAAAACATAAATTTAAAACTTACCATCTCCCATTGTTTTTTCTGCAGCACTCCATTCTGAAAATACTCTTCCGTAATTAGCATGCAATTTATAAATAGTATAATATCTTTCTGCAAGTCTTGTTCTGGTTTTAAGTAGATTTTGAAGATGAGTATTTAATTCATTACTGTAATCTTTTAACGCTTCAAATCTTTCATCTGGTTTTTTTATTCTAGAAGGTAATGCAGCTAAAGCTTTCAACTTATTTTCAGTTTGTTGCAAGTAACCTGTAAGAAAAAAATATAATGAAAATTAAAAAATAAAATTTGAATAATGGAAATGTTTAAAATTCTAATTGATTGTTTACCTGTTTCTTTACAAAGTTCGTGCCATCCTTCTTCTTGTTGCAAAAATCCAAGAAACAATTTGTCGTAACAAAGTAAAGGGTGAGATGCAGTTCTGATTAAAAAATTTTCCAAACCAGCTCTTCTTCTATCAACAAAATCCGGATCAAAAGTATCAGATCCTGATTTCTGCCATCCGAATAAAATTTTTTTTTCAGGAAGAGGCGGTAAAATAAGATAAGGATAAGTTATTTCCAAATAAAAATGTAATTGCTCAAACTCTGAATATCGTCTCCAAATTGTGCCTAATTTTGTAGATATTTTTTTGAAATCAGGATTTTTAACTCTAAATAAATAAATTAGTGATTTTTTAAAATTTTAGTCATTAGTAGATTTAAATTATATAATCTACATATTACTCTTATTGTAAATGATACTAACACTGTTTCAATTAAATATACTGTAAAATATTCTCTAAGGTTTAATGTACCATTTATTCTTTTTTCCGCTTCAGAAACTGATATATCAACATTATCTATTAAAGTCCCCTGAAATATTAAAAATTTGTTTTAATTAATAATTTTAGTCATAGATTTACCTGAAAAACTTTTAATTTTTATACATAATAACAAATCACTAAGAATTAAGGTTAAATTTACAATAATTTTGAGATTTATCTGTAAGAAAAACTAATTTATGACAGCTTCAGTGTTTTAAATAAAAATTTTTTGGTCTTAATTTTGAAATTGAAAAAATAAAAAGATTTCAAAAAGTTTTTAAATAGTATTAATACATTCATTTTTTAAGATTATTTATATGACAAATGAATAGTAAACTGCCTTTTTTTTGTCAACAGAATTAAGATTAGTTAAATCAATTATTGTAAAAAATTTTTTTAAAAATAAATTATTGAAATAAATAATCAGTTGATATCTTTTGCTTATAATTTTTAAGAGTGTCTGAATTTTTTTTGCTGTAATATAATAAAAAAATATTAAAACATTACATAGAAAACTTTATATTACAAAAATACTAATTTTTATCAAAGAAAAAATAAAACAAATGGTAAACCGAATTTAATTCAATTAATATTCCATACGATATGTACAGTCATTGGATAAAATTATTTTAAATAAAAATTTTTTTTAAAGTTTTCTTCTTACCATTCTAAACTTAAATTTTTAATAAAAATATTTAGGTTTTAACCTTAATTAAAATATAACATTCCCACATAGTTATGCAATTATTTACGTAGCAAAGGTTGGTATTCTGTAAATTAAATTGAAAGATGGCAGTTTGGTACATTTGACAAATCTCCATGTAGCAGCATAACAAATTGAATTCGTTTTACATATTTATGAGTTTTATTCGTTTATTTTATTTTAATTTTTTTTATAATTGTATATTGTTAAAATAATAGGAGAATTTATTTTTAAAAGCATTCGGTTTGTGTAGGAATGCCTTGGGAATTTT